CGTTGGCGTTGGCCCGCTTGTCCAGAAGCAGCTTGGTGACGCGGTAGTGGCCGCAGTGCGCGGCCACGTGCAGGGCCGTCAGGTAGTCCAGTGTGACGTCGTCCACGGGCGCCTTGTGCTGTAGCAGGTGCTTGACGCAGTCCACGTGGTCGCCCTGCGCGGCCATGTGCAGCGGGGACAGCCCGTTCTGCGCAGCAAAACAAAGCAAACGCCGCGTCAGTCATCGCTTGCATGGTCAGGAGCACAGCAAAGCCCATTCTCGATCTCCGGGAAAGCTGGGGTTAGCGTCCCCAGGTGACAAGGCAATACAGGGCAGGTGACGCTGGGCAGAGAGGAGAGGCCTGGGGCCTCTCTCAGACTCCCTGCTCTAAGCTCCCACGGTCCTAGGACCTCATTTCTCCGCCTGGGAGGTGAGCTGGGCGTGGCGAAAGCAGGCAGGTAAGAGCTAGAAAAGGGGAGGCGAGGTGGGCCAGGGGTCAGTGACCTCCCAGCTTTTAAGTCTGAGGAAAACCTAGATGTATCTTCATGGATACGGCCCAAAGCAACGTTAGCCTCACTTCTCAGGGGCCAACATAGGAACACAAGATTGTGGTGATTCGCTGCCAGGGGTCAGGCTCGGTCAGGCTCTTAGTTCTCAAAGTTCAATAAATAAGCTTAGAGTACAAAAATGTACGATTAAGAAACTAAATGAGAAAACATCTCATTAAAGAGAGCAGACTGTTGCCCCTTCTTAGTAACCAGTGTACAAGCGGTCGTTAGAAAATAACGGTGACCACAGACGCAGTTTGGCAGCGCTGATGTGCGCAGAAGCAGAGACCAGCACGGGCCCAGCCCCTACTCTCCCCAGGAAGGGGCTGCAACAGTGGGGGGGCCAGCTGAGAACAAATGCACCCGCATTCAATCATACGGGTTTGTGGGCTGCAGCAGTATATGCGACTTTATTTTCTTCTTTGTGAAATACTCTTTACTCATAATTACTGGCTTTGCAATTATAAATTCACAAAATGAACTTAGGACAGAGGGCAAGTGGATGAGGGACTTATGCACAAAGGTGTGGAGAAAGGGCACAGTGTCCAAGACCCTCGGGCCCCGCAAGGCCTGGGCTGGGGTGTGCCCATCGCGGACATGCTGTCGGTCTTAATGCTGCCTAATCCACCTAATGACCACGTGGACAATAAAATCCGCACCATTTAATCCTTTGTTCATTTTTAGAAATACGCACTGAGCGCCCCTCGAGCCTGCACACGTCCTGAGGACAGCAGGGCCTTGTCCACACGCAGGCGACCCTCTCAGAGGCACAGGAATGACTTGGAAAGAGAACTGGGAGGAGGCGCCTTCTATGCCCCTGCCAGGTGTCACTAGGTTAGTTCATGTTCTTCCTGTTCCTCACCTGCGTAATGGTCTCCTTCTCTATCTTTTTACTTAATTCTGAGCTTCTTAAAGATATAGACTCCATATAATTTATCTTGATAGTTCCTATTGACTAGACACTGCCTGGCACACTGTAGCTACTCACTAGGATAATTAGGTGGTGCATGATGAATGAATGAACGAATGAGTAAGTGAATGAATGAATGAGTGAATGAATGCATGCATGCATGAATGAATGAGTGAATGAAAAAAACGAATGAATGCATAAATGAGTGAACGAACAAACAGGTAAGTAAATATAACCATGCAGTCACAGACACTGTGTGCTGGGCCCTTGCATAAGAACGATATTTGATTTTATAAGGAGGCCACCTAGGTAATCCTGTCTTCATCAGTGACATGCAATTATGGGCCAACTCTGTCGATAAGATTGTTCTGTAGTTGGTGGAATGTTGTCAGCTGCTCATCCTCAGCTTGCTAGAGGCTTTTTACTGGTTGTAACATGGCTGGTCTGAAATTTTGTAATTTCCATTTAAATTTCAATATGTTCCCCACGAAACTTTCCAAAACTATCTCTGCATTACCCAGAGCCGCATGTCAAAGACAGGTCCCCACGGCCCCACAACCCCATGGCCCACGTGCTGGTGTGAGGGTGAACATAACCAAGTCGACTGCTTCTCAGCTTCCGTCTCTGATCTGAGACAGCCTTTCGCAGCGTGGGGCACACCCTTAAAGACTGATTCCATTCCACACATATTTCAAGTGTGTGGTTTGTGCTACAAAGAATTTCAGTTCGATATTCAATCAAAATACAATGCACACTGAACTTGCTTGTGTCAGCGGCCTTATTTTTATTGTTCACCCTAGCAGCGGCATGGGCTGATCCCAAGCCTGACCAGGGGCTGGGCGGTGAAGTGGGGGGAGAAGGTCGGACACATCCTTTGCCGGAGTTTCTGTTGCAGGAAGGGCCTGGGGGTCGTTGCGCATCCATGAAACAGCATGTGATTGTGTTCGATTTGTCTCAGGACCGTTTCTGCTCACCCAAAGTGGGGAGCTTTACTGTCATAAACCATTTCATGTACATTGGAATAGTGACAACCTCATGGCTTGTGTGATTTGTCAGCACAGGGTTTCCCTGTGGTGAGCAGGCTGAGGAAGGAGAAACTAGCTGTGCTGCCTGGAGAGCGTGTTCCTGGTCACGTCTGTGCCCACGCCCGCGAGCCGAGCTCCCCATGACACTGCAGTCTCCACGCCACCTCTCTGCCCGAGACAAAGGCTGGGGAGCTGGAAGGCTCGCCTCGTAAGGCTGTCTGCTGCTTTAAAAGAGGATGATTGAGGGGAACAGAGTATCATAAATGTAAGATCACCTCCCGTATGGACACTGTTCTCACCCACAACACAGTAGCATTCACGTGTCCGTCTGCAGCAGGAAGAGCAGGTGAAATACAGAAAGAACCTGTGGGCATGTGTACACTGCATCTTACTGTGTGCATGTGTCAATTTCAAGTAATTTAAGAAGTTTGACATATGTTCCTCACTCCTCGCATATAGATACTAAGAGGTGCTTGCGGATGCTCTGTTTCAGGGAGAACAGGGGTGCCGGGGGCATGTGGGGGTGCCGGGGCCGCCCGCGCAGACTCACCTTGGTCCTGGCCAGCAGGGGCGCGCCCCGCTCCAGCAGCAGCTCCACCGCTGGGTCGTGCCCGCTCCGGGCTGCACAGTGCAGCGGTGTCAGCCCGTCCTGCAAGAGCCAGGCCAGGCCTCAGTTCCCGTCCTTGTGAAGCGAGCTGCACCGGGGAGAGCACGGTGCCTGGGCCCGGTCCTGGCGGCTCCGCGGGGGGGTAAGAGGTCAGCGAACCGCCTTGGCCAGACGCAGGCCTCCTGTTTCCAGGGGAGGAGGCCCTGTGGAGACAGCCTCCTACTCCCCTCTCCTGCCTGTTTGCTGACAGCCCATGAACACTCGGAACTGCACTCACTTAACAAGGTGGGCGCGGACAGAGGAAGGGCACTCCCCCTCCCTGACGACCCAAGTCGGGGAGTCAGGCGGGGACAGCGGCTACCTTCTCCACAAGCACAGAGCGCCTGCTAGGGCGGCTCAGCACCACCGGAGGGAAATGACCGGGGACCCGCAGCCTTAGACGCAAAGCCATGCGACCTGCACAATGCCCGAAGAGCCACTCTCCCGGCTCCATCTCCCACCCAAATGAGATGAGTGGGTGCAACGGCAACCTTCGTTCCCAGAAAACTCCTGAGCAGGAACTGGGGGTGCCTCCTCGGGGGTGGGGCTCTGCTATCTGGGCACTTAGGAGAAACAGGAATTCCATGTTGCCACGGGAACCCGTAAACACTGAGGCTTAAATAAAAGCCCAGAAAGCCATGTACCGGAAAACCCGCGTTGTCGCGTGTCCAGGGCCCGGCACATTGGGGCGAATGCAGAACCCCGCGGTGTCAGCAAGTAGAAGGCAGACACTCACCCTGGTTTTGGCGTCGATCTGACCTCCGCGGTCCAGCAGGAGCTTCACCATGTTTGTGTTTCCCCGTTTGGAGGCCACGTGCAGAGGGGTGATCCCGTTCTGCAGGGAGAGTGGCAGAGCACGTGGGTGTGGGTATGGGGAGCACCAGGGAGCACGCGGGTGTGGGCATGGGGAGCACCGGGGAGCACCGGGGAGCACGCAGGTGTGGGCGCGGGGAGCATGCGGTGTGGGCACGGGGAGCACGTGGGTGTGGACGTGGGGTGCTGGGGTCCCCAAAGGTGTGGACGGAGTCAGCGAAGAAGGAATGACACGGAGACAGCGTTCAGTTGATCAGCAGCCTTGCCAGGATCTCTAGCCACAATCTCCAGCCAACTTCTGTGTCCATGTTCTCTTCCTAAGTTCTCCAGCCAGGTTCTGCAGGTTCTCCAGCCAGGTTCTGTTGCCATGTTCTCTCGCTAGGTTCTGTCTCTAGGTTCTGTCTCCTGTTGTCTTGTTGCATCTGTATTTATACCAGCTGATTTTAATCCTATCAATCTCGATTCCAAAGGTTAGTGCGTATCTTATCTCCATTCCAGGGAGTAAAGATTATATAGCTTAAGCATGATTATTCGTAGCTAAAGTGATTAATTACCCGCCTGGCAGTTAAGAGGTTTTATTCCCTCACTAACTTCAGGGGAAAATCCCTACCTGGGGAAACGACCTTTCTCAGAGAGGTGACCTTGGTTAAAACACATAGTGCCAAGAAGGTGAGCAAACATATTAAGAACAATATGCCATATATGCCAGGTCCCTTGAAACAGCAAGGATGGACCGGCTCCCGGCAGTGGGGAGCACTCGGGTGTGGGTGCGGGAGCACCTGTCACAGGGCATGGGGAGGCGGCCGGAGGAGAACCTGACCCAAAGCTGCTATATCTCAACAGCTTCCATTTTTAAGGAACAAAAGCACCCAAACCACAAAACACCACAGTAAGAGAATGAAAACGGAGTAAGGCTGCGTCACTAAGTCACCAGCTACACATCTGCACAGAAGGGGCCCTGGACTGTCAAGGGGGCACGTCTATGAAACAGAAACACGACGTCTGGTTCTACCTGGGACCGAGCCCGAGTCCAAGTCCGTCCTCTTTCCAGCCTCCACCACCCACCGAGCCTGGGTCGGAGGGTTTCCTGTGCTCACGCGAGAGCCGGAGCAGCTGAAGGCGGTTCTCAAGGCCCCCGGATGGTCCCTCAGAAAGCAACGCCCTTTCCGGGCAGGAGACGTCCGAGGACAAAACACCACAGACGGGACCTGTGTTTTCACTGGCGAACACGTGCCATCACTGGGCAAGGATCGGACTTGACTCTTGGTATGTCGTAATTCTGCAGATGTTCTAACTCTGCATTTGGTTATTCATATTACACGTGTGTCTGCCATGCCATTAAGTTGGCTCCGACTCCTGGGGACCTGGAATGGTGCCGTCCAGTGTCCTGTCCTCACCGCCCTGCACAGCCTGTGGCTCTTGCGTGAGTCCCTCCACCTCCTGTTTGGGCTCCTCTTCTCCTGCTGCCTCCGTTCCCAGCATCGTTGTCGTTTCCAAAGCCCCCGCCTCCTCACGAGGTGTCTGGAGGATAGCGTCCGTGTGCCACCTGCCCCAGCCGTGCTCAGGCTGACTCCCCTTTCTCTTGCTCCAGGGCCTCCGCGCGGCCCTCCTCCAGCCCCAGGTTAAAACGAACCAGCTTCCCCATCAGCCTCCACCGTCTGACCTCCCACCTTGGTCTCGGCCTTGGTCGCCGTGGCCCGTCTGGGCTCCCGGTGACCTTCCCTGATCGTCCCCCGGCTGTCCTTCCGGCCTCGGCCCCCCTGACTCGCTGGCTGCTGCCTGCACTCGCCCTGAGGACTGAGCCGAGGTCAGCGATAGCCTCGTGTCTCCGTCGTTTGCGCTGAAGCTGTGCGTTTCTCCTGCCGTGACTCCCGTCTTCCTGCTGGTCAGACGCGTCCTGCTTGGCCACTTTCCTCCTTCACTTTCAGAAGCCGTTTCGCATCGTGGCTCCTTCGGCCTCTGGTGGTGTTGCCTGCAGAGCTTCAGTCACTCTCTCTTCCGCCAAAACCCACTCCTCCCTCGAGTCCCCGTTTTCCGTGTGGCACGCACGCTCTGTGCGCAGACTGAACAGAGTCTGAAGCCCTCGCCGACAGGAACCCGTCCTGCGTCTGTGGCAGGTGCTGACCGTGGCCCGTCCCGGGGCAGCTGACGCGATAGGACGGTCAGCGCTGGGCGCCATGCCTGCAGAGCGGCCGCCGCTTCCCATGGACACGCTCCTCGCAGCGCCCAGCATCCGGGAACGTGGGCCACCAGGTCCGAGTGCCTCTCTCTCTTCCGAATCCCCTGCCCCGCCAGCTCCTCCCGCTCCGGGAGCCTCCCTCCGCCCGCGTGGAGAATTGGGGCGACGGACCTGCAGTCATGCACCCCTTGGGGTTCCGTTCCCGAAGACGGATGTGTGAACCTTGCTAACCCGCAGGCTCTCTCTTTCCCCCATATTTGTTGACATTCGGGGAGGATTCTGACAGGCCGATTCTCTGTGGCTCACATGGTTGTCTGTACCCCACCTGCCCCGGGGTTACTTCTCCCCAGCGCACTCAGGGCAGCCCTCACTGGGCGTTCTAGAACTCCAGGCTCCTTTCCTGAGGCTTCTCCTTCAAAGGCCGCCGTTCGGCTCTGCCTTCTGCACAGACGTCGCCGACTGCCCCACCTGCCTTCTCCTGGTCGGTCTCCTCCGCCGCCTTTGGCCTGAGCTGCCCTCTGTCCCCTGGGCTTCCGGTGGGGCCTCCTGGGTTTCCTGGGGTTCCTCCTCTACCTCCTCACATGGACACAGACCCAGGACACAGAAGCAGGAGCCGACTGGAACCTCAGAGGGAAGGTGGGGGAGGGGGCGTGTCTGCATCACCCACGGACACAGACATAGTGGGTGAAGGCCTGGGGTGGGGGCGGGGCGGGATAGAGGGGACCCATGGGGAGAAAGGGGACACGTGTAATACTCCCAACAACGAAGGTCTGTAAGAAGGAACAGTC